CGCTGGGGGAGCGGCATCCGAATGTGGCCGCCTCTTACAACAACATGGCCAACACACACGATAATATGGGCAATCACAAAGAGGCTCTCCGTCTGTACACGCTGAGTCTTGACATCAGACTAGAGACGCTGGGGGAGCGGCATCCGAATGTGGCCGCCTCTTAAAACAACATGGTTAGCACGCACTTAGCAATGGGCAATCACAAAGAGGCTCTCCGTCTGTGCACGCTGAGTCTTAACATCAGACTAGAGACACTGGGGGAGCGGGATCCGGATGTGGCCGCCTCTTACAACAACATGGCCACCACGCACTTAGTAATGGGCAATCACAAAGAGGCTCTCCGTCTGTACACGCTGAGTCTTAACATCAGACTAGAGACACTGGGGGAGCGGCATCCGGATGTGGCCGCCTCTTACAACAACATGGCCAACACACACGATGATATGGGCAATCACAAAGAGGCTCTCCGTCTGTACACGCTGAGTCTTGACATCACGCTAGAGACGCTGGGGGAGCGGCATCCGGTTGTGGCCACCTCTTACAACAACATGGCCAACACGCACTTAGCAATGGGCAATCACAAAGAGGCTCTCCGTCTGTACACGCTGAGTCTTGACATCACGCTAGAGACGCTGGGGGAGCGGCATCCGGATGTGGCCACCTCTTACCACAACATGGGTTGTCTTTATGAAACCACTGGCGAATTGCATTTAGCCCTGGATTGTCTCACTAAAGCAATGACCATACGAACAGACACACTGCCCGACAATCATCCAGATCTGAAAAGTACACGTGCTGAGATGGAGACTGTCAAGAATCGCTTGCAGACACAACAAACACATGTGCTTCCATCTTCTCCGACGGGAAATGGTAACTTTTATTTCAACGATTAACGCCATATTTGTTCTCTCTAATCGTGAATGTTCAACTTTTGTTTATTCTATTATAATTGTTTTATATAACTTCAGGGTTGTTTTATAAATCAGTTATTTTCATTTTCGACTGTTTTATATGTTTTTTTCGGAAAGAACAAGTTTTTTTCAAAACTTACTGATATCAACGAGTAAAAAGTAGTTTATCGATTTTGCTGCCGGGTGTTATACTTGACCATTGGTCCGAAAAGGAGTCCACAGAATCGCAGATAACAGGAAATCTACCATCCGTTTTTGCCCAAAGTATCTTTAAAAAGAGATTTGCGTAATATACCGCTAATTTTGGTATGAAACTAGCTTTTGAAATTGTAAAACTGCCATGCAACTGTACAAAAACGTATGGGAAAACCCTTAGCTCCTTTAGTTTTTTTTTCAATCGTGTTTAAAAAATGTTTTTTTATCGTTTGAAACAAACCTAACCCTAACTCTAACAACCCTGTATAACTTAAGTTATATATAACTATATATAGCTGGAAGTTCTTTTGCAGAGGAGACTGCTCAATCGACCGTTGTTGGAGCTGTTGGACATTCGGATGAATCTGTCTCGGCCACCAGAACACGGCAGTCTTCTAGTTTTTGCAGAATTCTTTGACCATTTCTCAACCAATCGAGACACGCCTTCCCATAACCCATATTGGGAAACAACAGCGGTCTCTTGCTGACATTTTCATGATCTCGCAAAGCCTTAACTCATTATTGCCTAGCAAATAACATATTCTCCTGCTCACTTGTAAATTTGTTCTATTTAGTACTTGTACAGTATTTTGTATATAAAGAGTTGAATTAGTTTCTGCTACATTTGTCTTTTTGTCTGTTTTTGGGAGGATCGAGCTCATTCGGACGCTAGCGTCAACTATTATTGCTCAAAACGGTTAACTTCGAACAATGGGTTCAGTTAAGAGCTATCATTAGATATTTGACTTCTTTATATAATGTTTGACGCAAAAAGTGGTTGAAATAATGCATAAATGCAATACAATGTTCAGTTCGATATATAAATGTGCGATAGAATTGAACGTTTCTATATGTCTGCGAATTCGTAACTTTTCCTCTATGCGCGAAGTTTGCAAATAACATTCACTTTTTTCAGTTGGGTGACGGATTCCTCGGACTCTGAAACTAACGAACTACCGCAGACGTTTTTTTGAACAACTTTACAGGCAAATTCCGCCGATGTAGAAAGGCTTTAAACGTTCTACGAACAATTTCTTCCGGAAGACGGCAGACAATTGTTTCCTGAAACCTCGAAAAATCATTGTTTCTGTAAGATCGGGTTGAATACGAAAAAAACATATTGTGAATTTGTATTTATCCTGTTGATCACACTGAAGAAAGAGCAACCGCGGGGAACACGAGTGGAACCAACGGAACTCCTCCATCTGAGGACTGGAAAAAAAACAGTTGGATCCTCTGATTTTACAGAATTCGGAACTGACAAAATGACGAGCAGAGCCAAGAAAAACTTATTGCTCGCCAAACGATCTCCGTGATGCAGCAATATAAACATCGACAAAAGGAAATCTTGTTTCTTGGCATTAAAAACATTAGAAGGATAATTTCATTGCAATATCAGGAAACGATTTGCCATTGCCCTCTGATTGACATTGGTTGAAATATTTTATCTTCAAATTTGAAAAAAATTACAAATTTTACGACCGTATAGACATTGAAGGCTAGGAAAAAGAAAAAACAACAGCTGAAAAGAATAAGCAGCTATTGTTTTCATGAAAAACGTAATGATGATTTCCCCTAAAGCCGTATAATCCTATAAGTTTTGCCAAAAACTGAACATATGTGCCAAAAAATTTTTGATTCGAAGCCATAGCAAAAAGTTTGTCATTGAGGTTAGGCATGGTTGTGGTTGAGGGTGTCAATTCACGCTGGTTTTCCAATGGTCGGAATGTTTCTACATCGGACAAGTTCGAACGTTCGTGTTTATACTGAATATGGTCGGGAAAAAACCTGGTGGAGACTATGATTCGTCGCCACTTTTTTCTAGAAATTTTCTTTTGGACTTAAATATAATAGTTCAAGTTTTGAAACTGCATTTTTTCATCGTAAAAATTGAATCAATAATTGCTTTAGTGCAATATTTATTGTTCATTTTCAATAAAATGCAATAATTTTTGGAACCCAAAAATTATATTGCAATTATTTATTGACTGGCCCTGGTCGGAACTGCTTTCCTAGCAAATCACTAGACACAGTTCCTCCCCACTAAATCCACCCCGGCCCTGGTCGGAACTATGAAGCCAGCAGGTTAATTGCTACTTTTATGGCTAATGTTAGTTACTATAATTATTAACTAGTTTGTTGGTTTATTCGTCTCAGGCTATTGATTAGAAACTTCTATTTAACATTAAATTGGTAGCTCGATATCTCAGTAGCTAATCTGGCTCTTACACTTCACCAGCAGACATAAACTTAAAGCATATATAACTTCACAGATCGAGGCTGAATTGATTGACGTCACGAAAAACACACGCCTCTCAACTCCTTTGTTCAATTGTTGTGTGTCAAGTCAAGCGTTTGTGAAGATTGCTGAGTTAATTAACCCCGCGGCCACATTGTGTTTTTATGCCAAGTAACTTGTGTGTGATTAAACCGGCTTTATTCAAGTATCACATGCACTTTGCTACATGTCTTTTACATACTTTTACGTGATATGGCTTCCAAAACATAATTTTTTGTAATAAACGAGGGGGAAATATCGAGAATAAAATACTGTATTTTAGGCTCTTGTTGACAATTCGTCTCCCAACGTGACCCAAATTTGGGTCTTATTAGTCTTACTGAGTCATGAAAAATATGTTTTTCTTGAAAAAAAAATAGATAGATAATCTATTATTAAGTTACAGATTGCTAAATTAAGAACACGAAGAGTAAACACTTCAAACAAATTTTTTTTACTTGTATCCGACGCTTTTAATTTGTAGCGATAGAATCTCCCTTTTTCGCGGTCCCAAACTAAAACGGCTTGTTCAAAATCACAGGCAGGGGTGTAAAATAATGTAATGTATGTTTATTGTTACCTTAAATGAAAATACTTGTATTGCTCTATACAGAAAAAAAAGATTGTTCTCAAGAATAAATTGTTGTTAATTATCATAAATTATTGTGAATGAAACCCATTTTTTCGGAAATAGTCAATTTGTCCCAATATTTCTTGTTTGTTTTTGCAAGGACATCTGTGCCTCCAAGTTGATTGGACTCGAACTTTTTCTGTAATCTTTATGGACAGCCTTTGCGGTAATAAACAGTCTTTCAACACAATTTCGAAGTAGGTTTTACCCATTTGAAACTGGAGACCAAAGAAACTGAAATAATTGTCTGTCACTTTACGATTATTGTATGAGAAAAATAAATTATTTGCATTTTTCAATCTACGAAACAAATTCTTTATATTTATTCATTGCCAATTATTTAAATAACATTTTTTTACCCCTGATCACAGGTACCCCGTCGTAATTGCCTGGAAACTCTCTTTACGAATTTGAGCGAAGCGAAAAATTAGTTTCAAACTATAATACAAAGTTTGTGTTCGCGACTTCTGTCTGGGTTTTTGGGTTTGTCCTAGTAGCATCCCCAACAAAGACCCCCACCCTAACTGAACAACATGTGTAATTGTCTCAAAACGATTATAATAGGGCTCCAATAGTGCGAAATAAATGTAGAACAGCCTCCAACACAGTCTGTGGCGAGCTGACAGACATTACCCTGCATAATCGTTCCCAACGGCTTCGTAGAGTTTTTAGGAAAATTTTAGGACGAATGAGACCGTTTGTAATTTTAGAACGATTGAATGCAAATCGAAAATTCGTTGTGTAAGTGAAATGAACTTTGAACAAGTGAAAGGATTAAAGCGTTTTCTATTTGTTCACCCGTTTTTTTAGTCTTTTGACATACTATATTATTTCATCTGAACTATCGCTCAGAATTTTGCTTAGAAACATGTTTGTGTTTTTACCCAAAACTGGTTGGAAAAAACGTGATTGAGACTATGATTCGCTGCATTTCTTTAAGTAGTTTTTGATCAATAAAGCAATAAGCTGTACTTTTAAAAACTGGTTTAAAATAGACTTTTTGATGAAAAACGATAAGATGTTAACCTCCAAAGCTGCATAATCCTATAAATCATTCCATAAAACTGTAAAGAAATGTACTGACTGAAGAGTCATGACTCAAAGCCAATAGCAATACTAGTTGGTCACTTAGATACAATTTTCTAAATTTTTACTTAAAAACTATCAAAATGGGGCGAAAAAGACACGTTTTTCCGAGGGAAAAAACAATTTCATCAACATTATAATAGTACCATTGCAAAGATGAATGAGGAGATTCTCAAGTAATCCCAAAATCAAATAAAATGACGCTATTTTGTCAAAAAAACTCCAAGATATTTTCCCGTAAAGCCATATAACCGTATAAAATATGCCAAAAAACGTTCAAAATTGTGCAAAGATGTGCGGGATTGCATCAAGTGCTTCCATAATTCGAAGCACTAGTCGTTTGATAACTGTGACAATAGTCAAAAATGGTCGGAAAAAACGTGATGGAGACTAAATCTATATTTTGATTGTAAAAATAGAAACAATTTTGCATTATTTATTGTATATTTCCAGAAAAATTCAATTCATATTGAAACAAATATATATATTGCAATTATTTATGGACAGGCCCTGGTCGGAACTGTGTAGCCAGCGAATCCCGGACAATATCCCCGGAACGAAATCCACCGGACAAAATCCCTCCGCACACAATCCCCCCACACCCGGACAAAATCCCCTTCAGTGTCCAATCCTCTGACGTCGTTCTCCCGCCGCAAGGGTGCTCGTCCTCAATCGTTTAGCCCCTTCAGTGTCCAATCCTCTGACGTCGTTCTCCCGCCGCAAGGGTGCTCGTCCTCAATCGTTTAGCCCCTTCAGTGTCCAATCCTCTGACGTCGTTCTCCCGCCGCAAGGGTGCTCGTCCTCAATCGTTTAGCCCCTTCAGTGTCCAATCCTCTGACGTCATTCTCCCGCCGCAAGGGTGCTCGTCCTCAATCGTTTAGCCCCTTCAGTGTCCAATCCTCTGACGTCGTTCTCCCGCCGCAAGGGTTCTCGTCCTCAATCGTTTAGCCCCTTCAGTGTCCAATCCTCTGACGTCGTTCTCCCGCCGCAAGGGTGCTCGTCCTCAATCGTTTAGCCCCTTCAGTGTCCAATCCTCTGACGTCGTTCTCCCGCCGCAAGGGTGCTCGTCCTCAATCGTTTAGCCCCTTCAGTGTCCAATCCTCTGACGTCGTTCTCCCGCCGCAAGGGTGCTCGTCCTCAATCGTTTAGCCCCTTCAGTGTCCAATCCTCTGACGTCGTTCTCCCGCCGCAAGGGTGCTCGTCCTCAATCGTTTAGCCCCTTCAGTGTCCAATCCTCTGACGTCGTTCTCCCGCCGCAAGGGTTCTCGTCCTCAATCGTTTAGCCCCTTCAGTGTCCAATCCTCTGACGTCGTTCTCCCGCCGCAAGGGTGCTCGTCCTCAATCGTTTAGCCCCTTCAGTGTCCAATCCTCTGACGTCGTTCTCCCGCCGCAAGGGTGCTCGTCCTCAATCGTTTAGCCCCTTCAGTGTCCAATCCTCTGACGTCGTTCTCCCGCCGCAAGGGTGCTCGTCCTCAATCGTTTAGCCCCTTCAGTGTCCAATCCTCTGACGTCGTTCTCCCGCCGCAAGGGTGCTCGTCCTCAATCGTTTAGCCCCTTCAGCGCGCTTCGCGAGGTGTATTGACTTTCACCATAATCACGAAGAATTTGAAAGGGGTTTTTGTCCAGGTCGGACGGGATTTTATCCGGGGGGGTGGGTGCGAGGAGAATTGTGTCCGGGGATATTTGTCCGGGGGGATTTTGTCCGTATTCCGTAGCAAGCAGTACGTAATCAACAATTCGTTGCAGGTAAATTACTAATTAGTAATAATTATTTCCGAATTCTGTAAGAATTGAGGAAATCAGAGGAT